GAGTGTTGATCTCACCTCGTGATAGTTGTCGCTGTCTGACGTGTTGTTGAACGTACTATGAACGTGTTGAAGTTGTTTTTCGGTGGTGACAGCTCATCACCGTAGTGACGATCTGGTGACGGCTAAGATTGATGCTGTTGCTGCTGCCGCTGTAGAAGAAAAATCTATGAAAAAATAAAGTGGCGAAAAGTTGAAAAGTTACTCGAGTTGATGTTAGGCCCCATTTATCTACCTGTGTACGACAGAAGACGATTCCTAAGGTTTGCTGCTATGGATCAACCTGCGCACCCTCCAACGTCAATATGGACGTATGCCCGTGATGTTTACGATGCAATCTTCGCAAAACATGAAAGCGGCAAACATTAGTCGGCTGCGTGAGCCATAGAACAACGGCCATCTTGCTGATCTATTAGGTTAGAGGAATAGGACATCGCCGGATGGCTATGTAAAAACACACGATTCGTTGCATAAAGGTGCATTGCAGATATTGATATATATTTTTTAAGGAAAAAGAAACATTGAAAAAGGGCTTTTTCATTAGTGTAGAAAGTATTGTTGTTTTTAGTTAATCCGCCATTGGTACTTTATAAACCACTATAAGTAAATGTGGACAACATATATATAGATCTCTCAACGCAATAAAGCAGATCTTCTTCCCAGCTTCTAAGGGCAATTACTCGTTCTCTCTTTAATATGTAATACATTAATAATAGTCCTGCAGAATCCTTAGAATCTCCGTTGCTATGTCATGTTGAACGAAGGCTAACAAGGTGATTTATACCTTATTATAGGGACATTTCTAATCCAGTTTCTAAATTCTTCCGTATACGTAATACACGTATAATATAAGTCTCTAGAGTGTTATTGATCGATTTCGATCGTGTGCCCAATTGGATCTTATCGGAATTAATTGACGAACAATTGTTCGAGGTATTAACCCATTTGTGCCTTTTTAATCAGGTTATGTTTAACTCTTCCACCGTAACAGATTGCTTATCGTAGAGGTCGTAAGAAGCAGATAAAGTGTTGATCAATGAATGGAGTAAAACAAACAGGTTAAACATGGAACTCTGAGAGAAGATTCAATTAGACGCTTGTTTACCACAGCAATAGTGCCAGCTAACCATCTGTAAAATCAGCAACCGGTGGCGATAATATGGCTTTACCGGCCTGTGACGAGTAATACATTCGTTCTAACAAGGGCAGCACCGCAAAGACCGTTCTCAGCTAAAATACAATTCGAAAAATAAGCCTGCATTGCCCAATTCACAGTTTAGAATTCTGTATTATTCCCCGTTGCACTGATGTTTAGGAACGCCCTATACGAAAGAGCGCTATTATTAAACAACGCGGTATTTGTGTATGGGGGAATAATCATTATCATTTTAACAGATTGCTCAGAACACCAGCGTAGTCTAGCCGCGGCTAAAGGTGCTGCTTCCACGGCTATGGTTAGAGGACGACGTTTGCTGTAGATCGGCAGGAGAACAAAATGGGCCGGCAGCATCGCCCTGACAGACACAGAGTCACTCCTTTCGATTCGCCTAAGGGAGTCGGCCAAAGCCGGAACAGCGAGTTGAATCAAGAGAAGATGAGATACGAGATTGAACTACCTCCAAAGAGGGGTAACGAGATGGCCAAAGGGGTGTCATGTTACTGTTAGGCGAGGATTGGCCTGACGGAGGAAGAAGTGATGTTTCTGTCGTGCAGCCCAGGTCGTCTTTGAGGTGGATAAGGTCGAGCTCACTTAGGCCTGCTAGATCGGTCTCCCTTTGATAAATGCAGTTATTATTATACCGTGCATCAGTCTAGGTCGCAATACTTATCTCGCTAGAATATGAGATACGAGCTGAAATATCAGATTCACTCTCGGAGCCGGCACATACCATTTAGGTACGTTATACTACACTCTGCCAATAGATACACATATATGCCGGGACTGAATATTTAGACAATTGATTGATCCATTGCATTGCCTGCATAACTGGTGGGTCGTTCGTTCGAATAATCATTTATGTTGTCGTCTGTAAGCCAGCAGCTATAAATAAGCGGTTAGGGTTAGTCAAAGTTTGACTGAAGACAGAAATGAACATGGCGGCTTCTCGATGCTTATCTGTGTGTTTTGGAATAATATCTAACTTGTGCTTATGATATAACTGAGGTCGAGTTCTCAAATCTATCAAATTTATCTGAATATACAATATGATCTACCCTTTCTAAGGACACTTTGGATGTTTCTTAAAAAATTACACATTTTTTTTGCACAAATGTAAGTATATGCATATTTTCTCTCAGATTTCTGTTTCGGCTAATCAACTTATCAATCATATTAATCGTTCCTTATCTGTTATCCTAATAGTTTTATTTAAAAGGTCCATCTCGAACATAAGATAGACGCGAGTCATGTTGAGTCATTCAGGTTCCTTAATCCTGAGTCCAAAGCAAATCAGAGTTTAAAGGACTTGGTTACAAACGTGGTTGATATCTGACGATTGGAAAATATCTGGTACAGGCAGTTGTGGCTTTGAGCCAACTACTCAGCTTTGAATCAGCGTCTTCTTCCTACTTTTAGCAAGATAGAAAAGTCTGTTCCGCTTGGTTCCACCATTGCGCCACTCGACCCATATGCTGAACCCACCCCTATAATTTGTCCTGCGAGGAGGAGGAGGAGGAGGAGGAGGAGGAGGAGGAGGAGGAGGAGGAACCGTTACACAAGAGATATTCCTATCAATTGCCTTCACATGCAGAAAACGCAAAATTAATTGAAAGAACAAAATTATTTTCATTAAATTGTAACCTGACCCAACCTAAGGTTAATGAAACCTAATAGTATGCGAGAATTGAACAATATTGAAACGCATAATGTGTTATACGAGTAACTGAAATATGTATACACATTTAGTAGAGGTTAAGTTTTTTGCCTGGCATGAGCCTTATTCAAAGTAAAAATTTAATCAAAAACCAACTTCCATAAAAAACCTCCGTAATATCGTCAGCTTGTTTTTTAAGCAACCCATTATTCTGCCAGGTTTGTAAATGCAGGGTTTTATAGATGTTTTACGATATTTCAGAAACTATCCTATCGAAGTCAGTTTAGCGTGACCCCAAATTCATCTCGTCATGACCGCGCGTGTCTGTTTGCTACGTCTATTAAGCTCCTATATAGATCTGGCGTAAGATTCAGTCGGTGTTGTATCTATAGATGATTTTTCGAGTTTTATCATACATATATACTTTGACCTCGAATCAAAGGAGCCTACCACCGTAACCAATAATAGTGATGTCTGTTTCCATATATATTCACATGCCGACAATACTTCCTCTTAATGGGCCTCGTCAGACGGCGCATCCTAAATATATTTTCGTTGCCCAGTGTCGTCTCAGCCAGCGCATGTTCACGGCTGCTTTTTCCACCTGTAGTATTACTGGTGATGGCACCCGGCCATTTGCAATCCTTACTGCAGCAGCAGTAGGTGTTCTGTCTTGTGCTCACGTTGCTTTCCATTAGCGTTAGTTCCTAATAGCCTGCATGTTAGTATAAGGCCTGTCTCGCCCTAATCAGCTGGGCGTTGCCGGTTAGTCAGATTCGAGGTTTGCCTTTGCTACCTCCTGCTGTCTGTCCGCTTATGCCCTTCACTCTCGCAGTATTTTCTAGATTTCTGGCACTTGCATCCCCTGCTGCTTTGGCCTGCTTCTGCGTTTGCCCCTATTTTGCGCCCAAATGATCCATCCCAACTTGCTTCTGTATCGCTATTGCTTCTATGTCCTTTCTCTCAGTTGCTCTCGAGCCTTGTGTCCCCCGCCAGCTCGTTCTCTCTGCCTCCGCCTACGGTTATCTCTGACGGGCCGGTCTGCCCATTGCCTTCGTGGGTCTTCCTGATCTGTCCCCATTCTATTATTCTTTGTTCCTATTTTCCGTTCGTTCGGAATGTTGTTGTTGGCGCGGCCTGCCGTGCTGTCTCTCCCTAATAACCCGCGACTGAGTTACTTAACGAGCTGTTCCACTCAGACAGGGCCCACGGTAGCAGCAACGCCAGCGTAGACTGAAGGTCCGAGTGCCTGCTGCTGTTGTTGCTTCTGCTACTACTACACGCAGCTTAGTCGGTGCAGGGGATTCAAGGGAGTGCGGTTAACGCAGCCTTCCCTCGTGAGGCGTCTACGACCTACCTCACTAGGGTGACAGGGACTCAACATGGGCTATTGCTTAAGGGGTTTCTGCCGCAGAGATTCGGTGACAGTGGCCTTTTAGCCTCGAGATGACTAGTCTGCCAGTGCCCGCCACCCATTTTAGGGGTCCCTTGCCGAAATTGTGCGGAGAGCTACAAAGCCTGGCTCGCCTGCTGACTGACCGGCTCTAGCAGCCATGGCCTCTATTGCCTTCCTTGGTCAAGTGAGGCCGGGCGTCTGGCGCAGCAGCGTACGCGTGGTGCCCTGCCTCGGCAACCCACTCTGAGCAACCCGTGACTGGGCTCTTTGATGGAGGCAGCAGGTCGCCTTTGAACGGTCGGGTTCCCAAAGTCGTTACCCCACCAAAACCCCAGTTACCTCGATGCCTTACAATCTTCCCACTGGAAACCTCTTCTGTTCAGGGCTAACTCTCGTTGCTCAGCCTGCACTTCTACTGTTCGTTCGTCGACAGACCGACAGCCAGCCAGCGAGCAAAGATGGGAGAGCTAGCTTTCTCCGCGTGCTCCGCCAATGATTAGTGTACTAAAGTAACGCAAACTAAACCGCCATTGGCCGCTCATAATTGGCTATTGGCACAGGCTCCGCCTTGCGGGGTAGGCGGAGCCAATGACGAGACTGTTCACGCCGCCATGGCTGCTGCTGCTCCTGAGCAGGTCGAGATGCTCTGTCGGGTAACAGCGGCCAACGGCGAGACGACAGGCGAACCGAAGCGCCACGACGGCCATCAGCAGAGGAGAGCTCAGCAGCAGTAGCAGTGAGCGTAGACACGTAGCGCAGCTACTCCTGCCCAGAGCGGTAGTTCCCGGACCACTGAGCAGCTTCGTTTGGAAACGAGCGCCGGTCCAACGAATGCTGGGACACAACACTGGCTCTCTGAGCTATGCGAAAGGACTAGGCGCAGAGTTAAATAATGTTGAATATAGTATGAAATGGCCGTAGAGTTGTTGTAAGGAAAACCCAATTAAGTAATATAAGTCTAAACATCGCAAAAAGGCGGCTCACAAAAGCCGAACAACAAGGATTGCATCCTTGATCGTAACTGTGCAGTGTGTGTGTGTGTACATGTCAATTGTGTAACTTGTATAAGTGGGCTGGCTGGTGTAACAGGCGATGAGAGAGCTGGCCACGGGCTGGCCATACATAGGCATACACAGGTCGGCGTACACCTGGACATGCGCGAAAATAGTGTAATCATTGCTGTCCAAGAAGCTGTTCCTAAAGGGTTGGGCCTCGGGTAAGGCAAATAGGAATCCGATGTGAGGCCGGGCCAGATTTTGGACCTCTGTCAAAAGGAGGACACTACTGTATTTACTGAAACGCTGGAAAAAAGGAAGGCTCAGCAATAAAAGAGAACTATTCTGACGCCAAACTGACGGCATTGGGAATAGAGTCAAGCTGAATTAGGTCGTGACCGACGCCATGGGCGAAGACAAAGTGTTGCCTTTTTTGTGGACCTTCAAAATATACAATGCAACCACGTTGGATCTTGTCAGGAAATTAACCCATTGAGTTAACGATTGCCTAAACCTGAAAGAAATTCCCACAGCATCTAAGACAGCCATTTCGCGAAGGCAGAATAGATATTTAGACAACAAATAAGTTGATATCGGCCCCGACGGAGAGAATGAGAATCTCTCATTGCGAGAACGTATCCGCTACTGTTTAATTTTTGTGAATGTGGTGTATCAATTGTTCCTTATATCACGCACAATTCGCAACGCGAACTCCGAGCCCTCTACAAGTACTGCTGTTCCGTGGTCCCGAAAGGAATCAAAGTTACCAGTTAATGAGGTGAAAACACAGTCTAGTTGAAAATAGCGCTCGTCAAAAATCCCTCTTTTCATCTAACGAGTGCTCCCGCCTGCCATCAACGAACCCATGCCCTGGTAAAAAACACTGCGACCGATTCCCCGATCACCAGCTCGCTGGGTCAGCCGTCCTAAATGTGTTTCATTTAACTTCAATCTCACACACCCAATCGTTTCTGTTCACTACAACATTACCTGTTACTGACCCGACTTGCCAGGGCCGGTAATCTCCGTCGGCTCGTTTTACCAGCGCAATGTCTCTGTTGTGTTCAGGCGAACCCGATTCACCTATCCCTGTTACGGGAACGCTCCCAGTCGCCGGAACGACCACGGCCGCTGCGGGTATCGGCGGGCCTAAAACGCATTCATCATTTGCTATTCACCACCTGCTCGGACTCGGCCAGCAGCAGGCCACTCCTTCACCAAGTCCCGTGCCACCGCGAGCTTTTGCCTCGCCCGTCAGTACATCCTCGTATGGCTCGAGTCCGCCATATCCGTTCCCTGCTCCCCGCTCGCCGCCACTCTCGGCGCTCGATCAGGGAGCGCAGGCCCGGTTGTACTTCGGGGCCGCAGCGGCCGCGGCATTTATGCCAGCGGGCGCTTTCCTGAACCTCGCCAGTGCAGCGATAGGCCACGGAACGCATGCTGACACCGGCGCTAGTCCGTTCCACGACCTGTCAGCGATGGCGAGCGTCGGTGTCAATATGGCTGGGATTGGTGCGGGAATGGGACTTGGGATGAGCGGTGTGGGAGCTGCGGCAGCTCGCATCGACGCCACGAATCTCAGAGACGTTCGCGACGTTGGGAGCGTCAGTCCGGGATCTCTCGCCCAGCATCAGCACCATCATCAACATGGTAAGTAGACGCCTTATAAAAATGAAATCGAGGTCCCTCGACATTAGTTTAATCAGTCAAATCAGTTCAAGCTGGCATAGGTATAACTTTGATTTGATTCTTCGCCGTTGCATCGTCGTGTTTCGTGATATTTAATAGTTGCGTAAATGCTATGGAAGAACATGCTTATGGATAAACTGATAATACACTGAGAAGGTTTTTACAAGAAAATTATGTCATCAATCGAAGCTGGCGCTGATGGTCGACCTGAGAGTCGGGCCTAGCTGAGTACTTATAAACTTTGTGTTGTAGGTCCGTCATTAGGAAGGCTAGAGCGCTCGCTTAGGGAAATTTGAGTTTATTCCGGTAGTATTTGAATTTAACGAGGCAATGGCACTTTATCAAATGTTTATTACCATTTGGGTTGTTGATGTTTTTCGAAAATTTCTAAATACGAAGTACACGCAATAATAATAGCTACTTAATAATTCATTAATCGTACTTCTTCTATTCATTACTCAGGTGCTCCGCTAAATAAAACATGGGCACACAAAAATAACTCACTGGCTGGACGAGTTCAGTAGAAGATATACGTATTAATAAATCAGCTATCTTTCATATATAGCCATAGCTAACCTTGGTATCCTAGTAACTTATATCTTTGGTTTATCACTTTGAGTACTTACAGTAATAATAATGAGCGTGAATGTTTGTATCTTTCATTCTGAATAATTGTTTATTCAGGTATAACAGTTTTTTACAACGAATTCGGTTAGGCCTGACTAGCCGCATAAGCCTTTGTTCACGTCCTACAGTTTTTCTAGAGCGATAATAGGAAATTGCTATCGCTAAAGGTAGATTCGTTAATGCAGGATTAAGGCTCTCGTTCTATTCGGCATTTTTCAAAAATCGCTTCGCACACAGGCCATAATGGATACGCTGACTCGTACCCTACAAGTTTAGAGAAGGGATCGCATGTTTAACGTCAGTAATAACGTTTTAGTCCTAACCAAAACACTCACACTTTAGTATTTCAGAGATACTTTGAAGCGTGCCATCGTCTTTTTACATGTTTTGCGGCTTTTTTGAGGACTTCTATTAAAAATATTAGCTTTTAACAGAAACATCTGTCACCTTTGAACGGTTATTGATAGTTAAGTTTCTCACGATAATTCATGTGTGTTTACAAGTAACACCGTTGTAGTTATAGAGTCGGCTTATACATATGAGGACTCAACGCATCATATTAACAGAATAGTAACGTCTGTAAAACATTTCCTACACCAACTACCGACTGGAAAGAAAAAGCGGTTTCAAAACTTGGTAACTTTAACTTATACCAATATCGATTCTACTCTCCGTATGATGCATAGCATAGTTACATATCTATAACATGTGATATATTTGTGTCTATCATTTAGGCAGCTACTCGAATCGTGAATCAACTGAAACGTGTTTGGTCAAAGTCGTTTGTCCTTCCTAGGTCCAGTTTTCACCTATGGACACAACTAAGAAACAATATCTTGAATACGCCATAATAATCTTAAAAAAGTCCTAGTTTAATAAGAACAAACATAGCACGTGAACGACGGACATTGTTAGTTTTTTTTTTCTGTTTAGTTATGTTATTCCATTGTCGATTAGTTCAGAATTTTTTTTACCTATACTTTCTCTTTGAAAATTGTCGTATCTGCTATCATAATTAAGCCTTTATCCGCTAGAGCTCTTCTCGTTCTGAACTTCATATGCGATATGCGCTGTATCAGCCTGGCGTGTATACTATGCATGTAATAGATGCATTTTTCCTTAAAACCGAATTTAACTTACTTAGTTTCACGATAGACCTAGTTGTCTAGTGACAGTTTAAGTTGCCAATTTTTCAAATACGACTACAGTTACTGCTACTAGATACTATCTCTCAGAACTCGCTCTCTCCACTTGCCAATTAACCTCTAAATTGGCGTTTGCGCAATTGGGGGTAAATAAGCTCAACATAGGCCCCCAACGCTCCACCTCTTGTGGCCTGTTTTTCCATCGGAGACACACAGATGTACTGCATTCGATCATTCGATGGTCAGTACTATCTTTTCCTGCACTTTCTGCTCCCAAGTGGGCAAAAAACGATTAGGTACTTGACGAAGCTTACGCAGTACCAGCAAGTGCCGGGTAAGATCATCATTGTGATTGAATCGTAAATGCCATATCTACATTGTTGATCTCCGGAAACGCTTAGCGGATCTGATGAATAGGCAAAACAAGTGCTGATATGTAAGTACAGCGCTGCGTACCGCTACCGGTACGGACCAATACGATGTATGGCGGTAACTGTTATACATCAGTAGCTACTATATCTATATATGTGTAGGTGCTGCATATCTTCGTGATGGCGTAACGGTAACGTTTTTGTCTACTGAAGGACACGTGAGGTGGTCTAAATTCGAAAGCGGGCGTGGATAAACTTCGTTTTGGGCTGGGAGAGAGAGACTACTCGTCTGCAGCAACGCTTAACCTAGCGAGTACTGGGCGGGAAATTCGAAACGTTCATTTATTATGGAACGATAGTTGACTGCGAGCTGAGCCGTTGATTGGTAGCGAAACAAAAAGAGTGGCAAGGCAGCTTCGGAGTGCGCTGTCATCGCCAGCATTAGCGGGACCAGACGACGCTCCTGTGTGACGGACTATTTTTCCGCTAGTCCGGGCAGCGCCATCACTATCAGCTCGTCACAGCAAACAGCCGTCGTTACGTACAGTCCGGGCCATAACGGCCATTGTGCGCGCCAGACCCATCGTCACTAGCGGGAAGCAGTCACGGGAGAGGGTAGATGGGTAGTTTAGCCGACTAGTACGAGAGGGCGTAAGGCTAGACACAGATAGCGTACCCCGCATCGTCGTCATGGGGTGCTATATTGGAAGCTCGAGCTTTAGCTTCGCCTTAGCCTAGTGGTCGTTAAGGGCGAGCGGACTGAACGGTCGAACGAACGAATCATTTCAAAGAGGACGAGAGCAAGCTATGCTTCGACAGCAGCGAGCGACAGTAGGGGAAGGGGGCAGCAGATCGAAGGGGAGGCCAAGTAGGCCCTAATTTCGCCGTGGAGAAGGCGGAGCTTCTGGTAGCAACAGCAGCGGCGACGAACGGCAAAGTGAGGAGGCGGAGCCAGCGCAGAATAGGGAGAGAAAGCCCTGGCAATGGGGCCACTACGACATACTAGGCTGGCGCCTGGACCAGTCAGGCAGGGAACGATGCTCAAATAAATGGAAAAGAGATGGCAATGACGAGCTAGGCTGACTGGCTAACTGACTGACTGATTAACTGACTGAGAGACTTGCAAACTGACTGAGTAGGTGTAGCTAGAGTAAAGGGAAAAGCTATGACAGAGCTCCTTTCCCTTGCGACATTGCGATGCCTCGAAAGGCAAGGGCTCTTAAGACAGATCGAGTAACGTCGATTTGAAATAGTCTACCTTCTCAGAAAGACATAGATGGGCTGCAATAAGACGATGCGATTCCCAATGACAATATACGATAAGGAGGGATGGAAACCGAAAGTTATAAGAGGTGCGTTTTGAAGGTGGGTACAATTTAAGTAATTTAAAAATCAGACCGAGGTGCCATGGCTTACCCTATTGCTTTCCATTTAATATTAACGAGTTAGTGTATTTTATGCAATCGTATTATTTGGAAGCAATAAGAGTCCTATTTCAACAGATCCGTGGGTCTTTAATTGAGTTGGTTTTGCGCATTGAAGTTACGCTTGAAGATGTTATGTTTCGTCGTAAGCAACAAGTGCCAAATATGTTTCCTATGAGAAATTTGCAGATAGACGGGAGCTAAAGTATACCAGATAACGAGTAGTTAGAAAATGGGTGAATACGTTAAATGGTACTGGAGTGACTTAACTCTTCATCATAGCATCGTCTCTGCCATCTTTGTCACGTGTTCCTTTCTACCAATGTCTGAAACCTATGATGTTTTTATTAGCGGTAGCTATTCTAGACTCTCTAATATGTAGTTTTCCCTTCTACTCCCTAAGCTGTGCACTAATGCCCCCCTAATCAAATCCCCAATAGGAGCTAGCAGGCGGAAATTGACGGACGGGTTAATCGATGCGACTCTTCGAAGTAGTTACTCTGTTGCGATGAATCGGCAATTATTCTTCAGCCTTTCGCATCGAAAGATGGCGAATAGACAGCAGCACTCCTATGTGGTTCTGCATAATACCGGCACAAGCAATATAAATGACAAATAAAGCTGTTATCAAGGGCACCCTCATCAATATGTACTTGTAACTGAACGTCCCTACTGCAAGCGAACATTTTTCTGTAAAACGAAATGAGTTAGCAAATTATACTACGAGCAGAGCTGTCAAAGTAGGTTTGCTGCTATATGTCTGTGTGAAATTTCCACTGAATAAAACGAATAAGAAGAAATTATTTTACATCCGGAGATTTAAAATGTTGGTTCAGGGAAAACGGGAGACATGCTTATGACATTGCCCAGACTGCATCCTTCACAGGTTTGAAACAAAAAAAAATTTTAACCTGCGGCGGATCCTTAAACTTTACTCTTCATACATTGAGATACTTCGGATCTAAATCGTGAGGTATTACTTTAGGGACAAGTCAGAGAGAGGAAAACATGGCAGCTGGCAGCCCGATGAAGCCTGGGAACACCACGCTTACGCAACGGAATGTTAGTTCTGGTGCAGAAGACCATGTACTGCATATTCTGCATTGGTTGTTAGCTATCCAATCTGCTACGTCAGTGCCATAAGGAACCACGATGGCTGTACTCGTTGTGGACGACGAGATGTGCCGGATGTGGTGTTCGTTACGATGGTTGTGGTCGTTGCGATTACTGGATCAGGTGGGATGACACGCTGCAGAAATTTTTCATACAAAAAATCGCTTTGGCCTTCAGCATGAATCGAACCCATGCCGATATTGGCTAAACACAATTGAAAAAGCGCAATACTGACTAAGCCATCCTACTCAGCAGAAAATCGTATATACTATGTTTTACTG